CATCCCTATGCCTGTTAGCCCTCGGTTGTCTGACGCCTTTTTCATGTAGTCAATAAGAAGGTCAAATGCTACCCTCCCCCATGAGTAGTTATTGAATATTTCTTCATCATCTACCATTAGGGTGTGGTCCATCTCTACATGTACAGAGTCTTGATGTGGCAAGCTAGGCCATCTTCACCATATCATCTTCATGTGCATTCTTGTTAACCTCGAAAGCAAGGTTTAGGTGTTTCCTTGTCACAGACTTCTCCCCCTCAAAATAAACTTTTCTTATGTGTGCTCCCCCCTTTACCCTATCTATGTCTATCTGGGGTAATGAACCACAGTTCAACCTTGTCACCAGGGTAAATTCCTTGATTCCAAACTTTAATATCTTTCTCCCAATATAGAAGTTCAATTCTGATATCTTTTTTTGGTTTACAAAGGYGTTGAATTAGGTGAAGGAGAAGTTGAGATGAGGTTTTGCTARTTGAGAAGTCCAATAGATTGCCAAAACAGGTTTTCCTAAATCTATCACTATGTTTTTCGCCTAGGTTTGTTCGAATACTCTCCATTATCCCTCATTGCAGCAATGGTWTATTTTCAGTGCTCGATTTCTTCTRCAAGCCTTCATTAGGTACATATCATTCTTAGCAATTGTAAGAGTTGTGTAAGTAACAAAATGTTGGCGGCAGATTACAGATTTTAGACTAAGTAAACTATGTTCAGTACAGTGTAAGTTTTATTATATACAACGTATGAATAAGAAGATACCTCGTTTTCATCCTCGTCTTGTTGCTTCAGCACGMTTGTAGCCTTCTCCTTCTGACTTTTATTCTTATCATTGGTTGGAACTGTCTTTGTAGGGTCTTTTTTGACAATGATCTGAAATAAAAAAAATACCACATTGTTTCTGTAGCGTTATTGGGAATTAAATTTTATAGAAACATACTTGTTTTGTAGTCTTTGGTTTTTTGGGTTGGGAAACTATCTCTTTCGATTCTGTCATTGATTCTTCCTCATGATCGGAGTTGTTTATCTTGTATTCGTCTGAAGATTCATTATCATCCTGTGATTCCCCGTCATTTGATTGTTGAACATCCTGTTGGAAGAGAAGGAAATAATTGGATGTGCAACTATATCCATACAAACGAGTTTAGAAATCATATTTACCTCGCACTTGTCACTTAGCCACCCATTGTTCTCCTTGAGTTTCTTCTTTTCGGCAACCTTTTCATCATTCCCTTTTGTTTTACTCGGTTGGTCTTTCCTCTTTTTCACCTGTTCTTCGTTCTCTGTTTTGCCACGTTTTGACTTTTTGTCAGGCGTCTTTTTAGGTGCACGTGCCTTTATAGTGTCCATCTGGGGTGTGATAATTGCGCCTTTAGTGATAGAATTCTCAGCCTACGCATACATTCAATTAAGTATGACATATAGTTAACCTTAAACTTAAAGAGGTAATTTATTGTAACCTCGATCTCGCTGTCCAATGAGATTGTGTACAGTTTGTCTGACTTTGGTCTTGAAGGATTGATTCCAGCAGCTAGCAATCGTTGGCTCGAACATCTACCTTCGTTGCCTTGCCTTTAACCATATCTAGAGGGARAGAAGGCGAGTTTCAACATATTATAAGYTGCTAAAGAATTACCAAAAATAAAGAAGACATGAAATTATTAAACTACAGCTTTTGAAATGAATACATCATAAGAGATAGCAATACAACAGGGTAGATATAGGATTCTACAGAGCATATGACCATTTTGACTGGGTTATCATTCTTACTTTGGTTCTAAATCATCATAATACTATTCTTACTTTTGTTGTTTTTTTTGGTTTTCTAAAACCATCTTAAACTGRCATGATTAAACAATCTTTCAACATCAAAAAACAGGCCAAGGTATCATAAAAATATATATAATATATAATTTTGATSTGCCAAAAAACACTAATATATAATTTTGATGTGTAAGGTTCTATATATAATATATAAAAAAACAGCACTTAGACTAAGACCTCATCGAYCCCAAATCTCTGTATATAGAACCTTTCATTCTACCATCAAATTCAACATATTATAAGTTGCTACAGAATTACCCAAAATAAATGATGTTTCTTGAGAAAGGGGAGTGAGAAAGTTCCTATCCTATCTCACAAAATAAGTAAGAGATGCTAATACAATGGGGTAGATATAAGATTCTACAAAGTAAATGACCAAATCATTGAAACTTTATTTTGGTATTATTTTGAAACAGAATTCGTATATCATAACATTGACCAAAAGACAACTGTGCAACAATGAGCAGTAAATTTCAGCAGTTGCTCAAAGTTTTTAAAAGAAACAACACATAACCTTCTAAGCGTAGAAAATATGGAAAACGCTAAACTGAATAATTTTAATCTCCTTTAGAAAGGATGAGATACAATCTCACTCACGCTAAAACTTCTATACTAGAAGAATCAACAAAAAAGTAGATGAATAATATCGTATAGCTTCCAGTGGTAATAACATAAACAACAAAAAATAAGGCTAAAGTCTAAAAATAAAACAGCGTGAGATTAAGAAATGAACGAAGAAGAAACGATTGCTTCAGTAAATAACTATCACATTTTGAAATTATTTTCAAAACGAGAAACTAATATGCAAAAGTTGATCCAAACTCATCAATACAATTAAACAATAGATCATTTCGATGAAGTTACACATCAATCACCRTTAGCAAGTCAGTATTTCAACAGAAGAGCAACTGTGCAACAATGAAAATACATAGGATTCTACATAGTAAATAAAATKATCAGCAGTTGCAACAATGAAGTGTGGTASTTCATATCATATCTCACAAAATAAGCAAGAGATGTCAATACAACGAGGTAGATATAATATTCTACAGTCATTACATGATTAGAGTTTGATATAGAGACTCCTTTAACACGTGCTCTAATTTCAAAAATCAGGTCCTTAACTTTTGATCTAGTTGCAAGTTGGGGTATCCTAATATTATTTGGTAATTACTCAGTTTAGATTAGRGCCGATTGTTTCCTATAAAGCCAAGCTCCTTTCTGTCTCCATCTTTCGACAGAAGTGAATATTGAAACAAAATACAAATATAAAAAAATGTTGACTCGAGAGATCAACAGACATTCATTCAATTGTTTAATAAAATCCAGCAATTAATTTGGTAATTGGTAGCATAACCCTCCAAACCAAATTATTGACATTCATATCTGATAATTAAAACAAAAAATAATTAAAATAAAATCCAATCATTTTCTTGATTGATCTGTCTACCACTGGTTTGCGCATGCCCTAACTCTAAGTATTTATCTACACAGTACTCCCATTAATGAAATTCAAAAGGAGGAAAAAGGAAACATGCAAAGAASTACATAAAACCAAAGTCTTCTTTATTAATCAAAACCAAAGCCATCATATACATTACTGTTTATTATTTATATATATATAGTTAAAGTTTGATCTAATGACTGATTAATTAAGCTTAATTAATATTGTATTAAGTGGAGCACTAATTTAGGAACATGAAGCCTTAGRAGCTCCTAAAAGACAGAGATGGAGACCCTTAATCAAAGGATTTAGGTCTGCTTAATTAGCCTTCACATCATGCTTACGCCTCACCCTCACTCTCTCTAACTATATACTTAATCAAAGATTCACAAATTTTTAATCTATGTGATCACTTTCAATAAAATAAAAAAGGTTCAATTGCAATAAAACCAATTCAAATGTTTCAAAAATAAATACAAAGCTGAACATATTCCTAGTGACCATGGAAACAAAGAGCCCCTCACTGTTGAACATATTTCTCAGTAAATATAACTTCTTTACACAATATAGGCAGTAGATAAATACAAAGAGCCCCCCACCGTTGAACATATTTCTCAGTAAAT